CAGCCACCTAGCCACGATGTCTCATTCCCCTGATCCTCCCACAGTAGCAGGCATTCCCGCCCGCGAGTCCACCTTCTCGCCACTTACTACTTTCTCGGAGGACTCGGACTCGACTTCCTTGTCGGTCGACCCTAGTGTTGCCGACCCACCTCCCACGCCTTCGCCTAGTGTCTCTCATGACCCCTCTCCTCCTCCTCGTCCTCCTACTAGGCGTGCCCTTCGCACGGCCCGCTGCAGTGCCTCCCTTATTGCAGCAGAGGATATCATCGACTTCCTGGACCTTGAGTGTGTTAAGGTCCGCCAGGAACGTCTCCGCCTTAAAGAGCACACCCTCGCCGCGATCTCCCAGCGCTTACAYAATCCCGATTGCACTTTACCGATTATTCCTGTGCGCCTCGGGACCTCTACTAGAGTCTATCGCGCATTATGGGACTCTGGCTCTACTGGCGACTTCATCCATCCTCGCGTAGTCAAGGAGGCATCCCTCTACACATCTTCCTACTCCTCCACTGTCACTGTCACCCTTGGCGACAACCAGGCCAAATCCTTCGTCGATTCTGTGGTGCCTGATCTTCCATTTTCCTTTCCCTTGCGGATGCCCCGTAGCCTTCGCAAGGCCCCCCGGTTCCATGATCTGTGTACTTTCGACGTCATGGAAACCATGTATGACCTTATTTTCGGCACTGCCTACTCACATAAATTTGCTCATTCTGGCCCCGATTGGGTCCACAACGACCTCGTCCTATACACCAAGGACGATCAAGGGTATCGTATTCCGTTGTTGGGCAAATCGGACCCTACACCTCCTCCCCCTGTTAATGTCTCCATTCTGACACCTACTCACTTTCACCACATTCTTCGCCAGCCGGATGCCGAACTTTACATTGTCGACATCATGGACCTTCTTACCTGCAACTCCATGCATCAGGACGTGGAGTTGGTCGAGCTCGATCCACCACCCCCTGAGCCTCTAGATCCTCCTGATTCGCCGACTCCTTCCACTCCTGCTTCAGACGCTGCTGCTGCTAAGGAATTTGATGACCTCCTAGCGACCTTGCAGCCAAGCGTCGCTACTCTCCTTCGCGAGTATCGCGATGTCTTTCCTTCATCTGTGTCCTATAGTAGCATTCCTCCTATGCGTGACATCGAGCACCGCATCCAGCTCGAACCGAACTACCGTGTCCAGCATCGAGCCCCATACCGCCTCTCGGTCCCCGAAGCCCAGGAACTTAAACGCCAGATCGATGAGCTGCTTCGTCAGGGCTTCATTAAACCGAGCACGTCACCGTGGAGCGCACCAGTCCTCTTCGATCAAAAGAAGGACGGCGCCCTCCGCCTCTGTCTCGATTACCGCGGCCTCAACCAGTATACGGTCAAAAACAGTTATCCCATGCCCCGCGCAGATGACCTGTTCGACCGCCTCGCTGGCCACCACTTTTTCACGAAGATTGATCTTCGCAGCGGATACCACTTGATCCGCGTGGCCAAGGAGGACCAGCACAAGACCGCGTTTCGCTCTCGATTTGGACACTACGAGTTCACTGTCATGCCGTTCGGCCTCCGTAACGGTCCTGCCACCTTCCAGATGGCTATGAACACGACGTTGCAGGACCTTCTCGAGGACTTTGTTCTAGTCTACATTGATGACATCCTGATCTACAGTGGTACCTTAGAGGAGCATATGACCCACCTCCGCACTGTCCTCCAGCGATTACGCGACCACGGATTCTATGCGAAGCTCTCCAAATGCGCCTTCGCTCAATCCAAGATCGACTTTCTAGGACATCAGGTCTCCGAGCATGGACTCCACATGGACGACTCGAAGATCCAGGCTATCGTCGATTGACCTACACCTACTTCTCTTTCTGCGCTACGTAGTTTCTTGGGGTTGACCAACTACKACGGTCATTTTCTTAAAAACTACGCGCAGTACTCCTCACAGCTGACTCCTCTGACCCGCGGACGTCTACCCTTCCATTGGACCCCGTCTCATGAGGATGCCTTTCGCTCTCTGAAGCGACTTGTCACGTCAGCCCCTGTCCTACACTTACCCGACTACTCCCGTCCATTCATCGTCACCACCGACGCGTCCGACTTTGCCATAGGAGCTGTCCTCTCCCAGATTTACCCAGCCCCTTCTACTTCTCCCGACCCCACCGAGTCTCGTCTCCCTCGCATTCCTCGCTTTCCGCCCCCACCCCTAGCGACTGCGGCTCGACTTGCACCTATCGAGCCCACCCCCTCAGGGGCTCCACCTCCCTA